CATTCACTTAATTCAGGAGCCATTATTCTCCTTACCACAGTATGTTTCTAGCAATTTTCCATAAAACACACAACTCATCTCCTCTGCATCCACCCAGAATCTTCCTAAGAGAGGCCTTTCAGGATGTCCCATGCTTTATTAAACATGTGATAATTAAAACGTTTATGAAATGTCCTTGGGACTTCAGAGAATCTCACAAAATGCTTAATGAACAAAAGCAATATACAATTGAATAAAAATCAACTGAATAAAATCAATTGCACTTGCAGGAAATTCTTAGCTCATGGAGCACTGAACTCTATCAAATAGCTTTATACCAATACAAGCAGTGACTTCTTGATCAACAAGGGAGGATTGCACTACTACTAAGATACTAAATTTTTCATCACTAAAGCGTGCAACATGACTTTCTGTCTAGGTCATTGTGGCATTTTAATGACAACACAGGATTTCAACAGATCAGACTTTGAAGGGCAGTTGCTCTACTCCAGAATTGTAGCAATGTTATTATGAGTTAGTTCTGAAGCTAATGAGAAGGTCATGAGATGGAAATTGATTACAGCAGAACACAAAAGTATTATTAAATGGCTTACTGGAAGAAGAGAAGAAAAATATTTGAGGCCAAACTGAAATAGAATTTAAGGTGGTTCAATATTAAAATCAGTACTAGGAAATGATACAAATATACTGGAAAGCCCTTTTGCTCTATTTTAATTGTTTTATTTCTATTTGTATTTTATCATACATCTAATTTCCTTTTATTGAATTTTATCTTGCTCAAAGAAACAACTTGACTGTTAGATATAAAATGTTTGAACAAAAACTTGTGGTGCTGATTCTTGCAGCAAACAGACTTGTCTGTGGCAATGAAACTATATGGTATAAAGCACATTGTAAAATCTCTCTTTGGTGCCATGTTCTGATCCTGATTAAATTTATTTTTTCCACTCATTTCATTTTGTGTCAACATTTACTCAGTAGTCACCAAAGAATTTATAATAAGTTTATGGAAGTTTGTTTTCCAAATCACTTTGGGTAAATATTTAAACCAGACTTCATTTGTATTTGAATCCTAAACCTGATCTACTTCCTGTGATTCTTAGATTAAAAAAAAAAAGTGGCACTAACATGCATTCAGTTGTAGAGTCAGATATCCAACAGTCATTCTTGAAATTGTCCCCTCTTCTAATTCCCAAATATATTTCATCATTATGTTCTGTAGTTTGTAATCTTAAAGTCCTTTTTGGTTCTCTCCATTTTCCATCACTTCCACTCTTACCAGTCTGGTCCAGGCCACCGGTGTCTGGATTGCAGCAATGACCTCCTACATGCTCTCCCTGCAGCCATTCTCCTCATTGGAGCCAGCATGAGCTTTACTATTCGGAAGCTTTCCATGACTGGACCTTCAAGACTTTGAAGGGAGGTGGCACCTGCTTGGCAATGCAATTTCTTCTTGCAGCACTCTGTCTTCTGTTCTTTGAACTGCAAGCACAAAGTCATTCAAAAGCCACCCTCCTTTCTTCTGTAGGTACTTTGCAAGAGCTGTTTCCTCTGCCTTGAAAGCTCTTCCCCTGCTGCCATCTTTATTTTAGCTCCTCCATTTCTTCAGGTAAACCTGCTTTGTTTTTTCTTTTAAGGGTGGACCCCCTACTAGGAACTCTCCTGTTAGACTTTTACATTTCCTTAAATGCTTCTATTATTAATGTCTGCCTCTCTTAGACTGTAAGCTCCATGAGGGTAGGGACTTTGATCAGTTTTTGCTCTCTCTTCTATTGCCTGTGACTAGCACAATATATGGTACATAACTGATGCTAAATAAATATCCACTGAGTTAATAAATAACACAATGGTGTCCTTGGTGTAGAAAGGAGGAGAGAGATAAAGAGAATGAAAAAGAACATATAGTAGGGGTATAGGTAAGAGGAAAGAGAAAAAAATCAACAGTGATCTAACACTAGAGTTGATACAACCACTCTGAGTAATTACTTGAAGAACAATAGTAAAAACAGCATGGGTAGACTTCATGGTATACTTATGGTGCAGGTCAAGTATAAAAACTTGTACTAGAGAAGCCATGGTTGTGTATAGATTCGTGATTTTGATCTGATAATCAAATGCTCGTTTTCTCTTTTAGTTGCTAAGTCAATTATTCACTTAATGAATTACTGAATTGAATTCTAGTCTCAATGCCAACTCTGGTTAATAATTTTCTTTTTTGTTTGAGATAAAATTGACATTTAACATTGTGTTAGTTTTAGGTGTACAAGGTAATGATTTGATATATGTATATATTGCAAAAAGATTACAACAAGTTTATGTAATATCCATCACAACATAGTTAAATTTTTTTGTCTTGTGATGAGGACTTTTAAGATCTACTCTTTTAGCAACTTTCAAATACAGCAGGTCCTTGAATAAAGTTGTTTCATTCAACATCAGTTCATTATAACATTGTTTAGGGGGGAAAAATAAATTCCTGGCTGGGGCTACTGTCTGTGTGAAGTTTGCACATTTTCCCCATGTCTGCCTGGGTTCTCTGGTTTCCTGCCACATCCCAAAGATGTACATGTGGGGTTAATTGGTATACATCTACATTGTCCCAGTCTGCGTGAATGTGGCTGTGGGTGTGAGTGCACCCAGCAATGGAAGGGCATCCTGTCCATGGTGGGTTCCTGCCTTGCACCCAGAGTCACTTGAGTGGGCTCCAGCCACCTGTGAATGAACTGGAATAAACAGATTGGAAAGTAATCATCCTACTTGTTTTGAGTGACCTTTCTTAAATGAATGTGTCATTCACATTATATCAATGTTTAATATTTGAAGTGTTTTGGGTCTCTGTGTAGAAGTTTGGTGATGTTATTTGTGACCAGAAATATGCCACAAGAATTTAGCTCTTGTTTATATGGATTAGGCTATGATAGAGATTTTGATCTGGTGTGCCTCATGAATTTTTAAAACATGCAATACCTGACTATTATGTCAGAGGCACTGACCTCTTTTCCCCTTGTCAAATTGAAAAAATGAGGACAGCCAACATGACAATAGCTGTCCAGTGTGACTGCCCTGTCTTGAACCACAAATGTACAGACCATACAATGGAGGTGCATCTTATTGGTCACATTGCTTGATAAGTTTGGGTCTGACTGGTTAATTCTTGGTAGCAGGAATCCTTATAATACAAGTTTGGGAACCTCACTTTTTTAGAAAGTAACTTCAGAGCAAAAAGGGTAGGTAGTCATTATTATTAGTATTATTCTGTAAGTCAAAATTGTACCTACTTTTGTCAGATCAGCAAAAAATGTACTTTTTGGTGTGCCACAGAATTTTAGTAATTAGTTTATGTGTGTCAAGAGATGAAAATGGTGAAAATCACTGGGCTGGTATTATTAATCCTGTTTGACATAATTTTACTTAAGGTCAGTTTCCAAGAACCTGATGATGACATTAAGTGAGGACTTACTGTATAGCTGTCTCCTGTTATCTGACAGGGGTATGTTCCAAGACCCTCCGTGGATGCCAGAAACCACAAATAGTACTGGACCCTAAATATACTACCTTTCCTATACCTTCACACCTATGATAAAGTTTAATTTATAAATTAGGCACAGTAAGAGATGAACAACAATAACAAAGTAGAATAATTATAACAGTATACTGTAGTAAAAGTTATGTGTATGTGGTCTCTCTCAAAATATCTTACTGTACTGTACTCACCCTTCTTCTTGTGATGTGAGACAATACAGTGCCTATGTGATGAGATGGAGTGAGATGAACGATGCAGACACTGTGACATAGCATTAAGCTACTCTAAGGGTTACTTGGACACAAGCACTGCGATACTGCAACAGTCGATCTGATCATCAAGCATTTACAATGTGGTTACTCCAGACAAAGGATGATTCCCATTCTTTGTGGGATGAAGTGGGACGCCGGGAGATTTCATCATTTAGAATGGTATGCCATTTAAAACTTTTGAGTTGCTTATTTCTGGAATTTTTCATTTACTATTTTTGGATTATGGTTGACCGGAGGTAACTGAAGCTGCAAAGAGCAAAACCATGAATAAAGGGAGCCTACTGTATACAATACAGTATTGTTAACGATGGACGCCATGCTGTACATGACATCCCAAAGATTTATTTGTCTTGTAAGTGGAGGTTTAAATTTGTACCTTCTGACTGCCTTCACTCCTCTCCATACCTCCTCGCCCTGCTATTGCCTTCACCACTGTTCTAATGTATAAGGTGCAAAATTGCCATTCTCTGGAGCATTTTCTTAATCTGTTGACATCTTGCTTCTTGGCAATTGTCGTCAGTTTGGCTCAAATAAACTAAAAAATTCTTACGAGTTTGGACCTTTCTTACACTGACACTGGATAAACACATGTTTGTGTAATGCTATTTGATAAAATAGAATTTAAAATTGAATGCATATCAAACATACATGATCTTATTTAATCCTCAGACTGTTTTTAAGAAAAGTTTTAGTGCCACAATTACATAAGAAACAAAAATGTAAATAACTTCTACATGTTCATACTTTCAATAATAGACCCCAAATCTGTTGCAGCAGCCCACCTAGCTTTCCATTTGCAATTGATCCAATTAATTATCTTTTCCTGCCCACAGGCTTGCCCTTCCCACCACATTTCTGCTTCATATGTTCAAAGAGTTGGCAACTCTACTAAAAAAAAAACAAAAAAAAAAAATTAGCTTCTTAAGTTCATGGGATCACAGGTTTTTCTTCCTCACTTTTCAAAAAATTTTTTCAACGTAACCATTTTATAATGCAAAAACTGAAAATGCAGTAAAGAGGAAGGACCAATACCCTCTATCTTCACCCAGAAATCTGGGAAACTCCAACTCCAGAGACCCGCTTTGTAAAAATGCTTGCAGCGGTCCACCCTCACCGCGGTGAGGCTGATGTCGCAAAGAAAGAAAGGAAAAAAAAAAAAAAAAACTCCGCAAAACCCGCGGCGCTGCTTTACGGCACTCGCTCCGCCCCCTCCAAGGGCGGGTGACTGAAGCCCGCAAAAATGGGCTCTACCTGCTTTTTCAGCTGGGGTGTGACTGCCCTGGCAGGGTTGTTGCTCTTGTCCTTCGGCAGCTTGGCCACTAGTCAGATCGAGGTAGGAGTCAGCCCCCCTGAGCGATCGGGCCCTGGGAGGACAGCTTTGTCGTGGCTGTGAGCGCCCCAGCAGATGTCCGATACACAGAAGCAGAGGGAAGCCTGGAGTTCCTAGTCTCCTCCTAGGCCGACTGGACTGTGGGGAGGGTGTCACAGAGGACGGGATCGGACACTGTCGGTCTGTTTTAGCCTTTTAAAACTGTGAATTAAAAGAATCAAATTCTTGGGACGGGGAAGGGCCTGAGCCTTTGCCCCGACGAGTGCGTAGTCCCTAGCAGGTGAAACGTGAGCACAGGGTGCCAGCACTTACTTTCCTGCTGTTAAACTTCAGCTCTCCCCTTTGCTAGGAGTCAGGTGCGTACGGTGTTTTATTTTTGGTTGACAGGGCGTTCTGGCCTTTCATAAAGATTTTACTGTCCCCTGCACTCTGATCAGACCAAAGTCCTGTTCTACAGTTTGGATCTCTAGCATCATTCTCAGGCCTGCATATCAAGCTGGTTAAGGGGCCTGGGTAGTCCAGACATTTGAAAATGTGTCCATAGTTTTTATCTTCTGTCTATTATTCCATTTTCTATGGGGTTGCTCCTAGGCTAGAACCCTGCGGTTTTAAAAATCAACTCCTCTCTTTGTCCCACTTTTTAATCAAAACCAAACCTGTGTTCTATACTTTTAAAACTGGTTTTACCTATTTAATTCCCCTGGCTTAATGCAGGCCTGGCCATTTCTTGAGTAGCCTACTGAAGTTACTTTATCTTATTTTGCCCGGTTTCCAGACTCCTTCACTTAGGTGCTAGATTAGTCTTCATAAAATGTAAACATGATCACGTTATTCTTCTGATTCAATCTTTTCAGTGCTTTCCGATTGCATGCAGAATAAAGTTGACGTTATGATCTGGCTTCTGCCCACTTTTCGTCTTCTTATTGGAGCCCATCCTGACCATAGATTAGTGGACTCCACACTTTTTAAATACAATCCCCACCAGTTTAAAAGGGTTTTGAGCAAATATCCTTTTGCTCAATATGCACTCTCTATATATTCATGGATTACTGCTAATTAATATATATTTAATATTTATAAAGCATATTTTTGAGATAATGTAAATATGAATGGAAGTCTATTTTCCTCCTTTATTCTTGTGATTTATCTTGTATACTTCATTTTGGATACAATTACTTGCCCCCTTCCCCCTTTTTTGATTGTTACAGTGTTTTTTCACATTACCATGTTTTATACCTACTGTTCCTTCTGTCCATTTACTAAGATGTAGTAAAAGCATAACCTCTGTAGAACTTTTCCTTATCCCATTTCCTTTGATTCTACTGTTGTAATTTGTACATTAAGCTAGTAGTATAGCACTCATTGATTATAACCTATGTATGGTTTGTACTATGTGTTATTCCATCATTTTTTACTTGGAGTGCAATAGTTCCCTAATCAGTACATGTCAAATTATTCTTTCTTCCTTCTAGTCTATTTTCCAGGCTGCAGCTAGACTAACTTAAAAATGCAAATCTGTCCTGGCTGGTGTGGCTCAATGGATTGAGTGCAGGCCTGCGAACCTGTGTCACTGGTTAGATTCCCAGTCAGGGCACATGCCTGAGTTGTGGGCCAGGTCCCCAGCAGGGGGCATGCGAGAGGCAACCATACATTGATTTCTCTTTCTTTCTCCCTCCTTTCCCCTCTTTCTAAAATTAATAAAATCTTAAAAAAAAAACCTAAAAAAAATTTAAATCTGGTCATGTCACTTATGTACCTCAATATTGCTTTAAGGATAAAGAACACAATCTCTATTACGACCCATAAACAAGGCCCTGCTTACTTTGGCCCCTGCTTACACCTCTAGTTGTCTCTCTCTTTCAAACTTTTGCTTATGCTAATCTCCTTTCAGTTTCTCAAAATCTTTAAGCCCCCACTGCCATGAGGGCCCATGTTTCCTCAATCTGGAACTATCTTTCCTCTTTTTTTCATCTTTTGGATCCTAACCCAATTGTCATTCCTTTAGGGAAACCTTCCCGAATACTCCCCCTATCCCCGACCCCCCAAATCAAGTAATTTTCACCTGTTACACTCTTTCATGATAGGGTGTATCTTACTTTTACAGAATTCTTAGGGTGTCCTTATCTGCTTAATGTGTCTAGCAAGTTGGATAATAGCCTCTTTGGAGGCAAAGACTGTGCTTGTTTTTGCCCATCATTCTATTCTGAGCACTCAGGACCGTGACTGGCACATGGGGCCCAATGAAATGATGAATGAATGAATGTTACATTGTAGTGTAATGTATTTGCACGCTTGTCTTCTTTATTGCACCCTGGGATTCTTGAGAGAAATGATTTTCAATGATTTTTTTATCACTGTACGATACTTGATATCTGGCATCAGAGGTGTCAGATACCAACTATATGAGAATGAATGAGTAACTTTACACTGCCTATATTGTCTAAACAATCACAAAAGAGTTGTGCCATCTCAAATTTTTCGCTAAAGTCATAATGATGTAAGAATTTTGGAGATGGAAGGGACATTCAGCTCTCATTTTCTACATGAGGAGAGTCAAGTGTAGGGAGCTAAATGACCTACCCCAGTCTTGCAGCCAGGTGAGGGATATAACCTGGGCTAAAAGCCCAATCTTAAAATTTCCAAACCAAGACTTTACCTCCTATAGCATGTTGCTTTTTTTTTTTTTTTAAAGCATTTAGGTAGCTGTTCAAAAAGGTTAAAAAGAAGGATGTGTGTGTATGTATATGTATATGACACATTTGAGGGAATTTTTAATTTCATTCTCCCTGAAATTTTATTGCCAGCTGAAAATAAAAGAACTAACATTTGTTATATAATTACTAGGTTCCAGTCACCATTTCTACATTCTGTGAGTCAGGTAACATTACCATTTTATAGATGGGGAAATGGAGGTCACAGAAAAGTTAAACAGCTTTCCTAAGTTTATACAGGTAGTAAGTAATAGGGCCACGATTTGAATCCAGGCAGTTTACTGGTCTAGTAATTAATATTGCTTAAGAGCAGATCTGAGGTCATTATGGTTTACAGTCATTATTATTTTAAGATATAAAAAATCATGTGAATTAGGTATCTGGATTGCTGAGGTTTTTAATGTTCCATGCCAGCAAATATAATTCAGAGTCACCTTAGCATATTAGTGAAATGGTACATGGCAGTATGCTAGATAATGTACTCAGTCAATTATATTGATAAGTTCAAATGAAGAAATTGGAAGCACCCCACACAGAGTATGAATAAATGTTGAATGAAATTTCAACAGGAATGGTATTAATTGTTATGTGTTGAATCAAGATTTGGAATAAGTCATTCACAATTTGAAGACTGAATGGAAAACTAAAAGCATGTAAGGAAGAGATGACTGGGACAAAATGTTTAAAATCAAACAGCCCGTCCCCCAAATAATGCCCCCTAACAAAAAAATAAAACTTTATTGGTCCTTCATAAAGTAAAAAACTAGAATCTTTATAACCTTACATAATGAAGACTAATTGTTACTACAGCTGTGAAAACTTCATGAATCTTACCTGTTATTTACCAGTCTTTATTCTCGGAGATGTGGCTTTCTTCTAATCTTTTGCTATTTGACTGATAGGATCAAACAGAACAGTTCTTTAGAAGTGGTCACACAAACAACTGGGCTGTTTTGGTAAGTATATTCTATAAAGGTATACCATGCTATTCACCGTAGATATGCCTCTGAGAAAGTTTCGTGTGAATCAAATTTTTGAAAATAAAATTTATTATATTTTATACTAGAAATTCTTTATTTTGATTTGCTGTATTTTAAATTGACTGTATCCACTAGCAATATTCTTTGCCTTCATATATCTGTCAAGTGGCAATGTGTTAATAACTAAAGATAAACTAGGGGTGCTGTTGTTAAAGGAAGCATTATGTAAGATGTTGGGTTATTTTAATAATGGAAACTAGTAGTTATATTTCTTATTTATAATATTAGTTTATAGATACTCTCTACTTAGGCTGTTTTATTTTTATTAAAGATTTTCTTCTCTTTGCAAAAGTATATGATCATTGTAGAAAATTCAAATTATACAGAATAGCTTAGAAGACAGGATTAATTTTATGTTATGTGAATTTCACCTCAAGTGAAAAAAGAAAGGAAAAATGTCTTCATGTCCCATATGCCAAAATCAACATTTTGGTGACTATTCGTCTAAACTTCTCTTTCTTCATATATAAGCATAAAGATAGGTGATTTTTATATAACTGGGATTATAGCTGCTCTTTTACAGCCCCATAGCAGTATATCTTGGGGAATCTTTCTCTGCCAGTAGATATGGAGATACATCATCTTTTCCAAAGCCTGTATTGTTTTCTTTTTTATGAATAGATCGTCTTTTCCAGTTCATGAGCATTTGGATCCTAAGTTTTTCATTATTTTAAACAGAGCTGTGTTGGCCATCCATATGCATACATCTTTGTGAACTTGACTGATTTTCTCTTTAGGATGAAATCGTAGGCATAAGGCTGGGAAGTCATGGAGCACAATAGCCCTCTGAAAATGCTCTACCTCTTTTTATAATCTCAGGTCAACTGTGTATTATTAATTTTTATCTTTTCTTTTTGAACAGTGGGCAACAAATTAAATTTTATTTTAATCTGCATTATTTTGATTCTTAGAAAGTTGTGCTTATTGGCTTTTATTTTTTCTTCTGACTCTGTTGTTGTTGGTTGTGTGAATTATCTTCAATTTATCTGGATTTATAAATTTGTCTTTTTAATTTCCCAAATAGGTTACATGTAATTGATTTTGTTTTTCTTGTGCTCGAAAAGTATTTGGAGAATAATTTTGCTACTGGAGATTAATTTAATGATATTTACATGATTAGAAGACGCAATAAATTTGACTTAATGAAAAATGCATAAAAGGGTCCACTGGAAGAAAGGATGAGGAAATACAGAGGCAAGAAAGGGAGCTGATTTTTGTGAAAAAGGAAGGGAGCAAAGAATGTGTAGCATTTCAAAGCCAGTAACTCTTGTTGGAAAGGAGGAAGATTGGGGAACTAAGGATAAAATAAGAATGTGAACGAGGTAGGGAGAGGAATTCAAGCAACTGACCTCAGTCTCTGTTGCCTTTTTGGGAATGGATTCGCAAGAGGCTGACTTTTGAGGCATGCTGTTAGATTTTCTAGTACCTTTGATACCATTTTTAGGAATGTTTCTTTCTTTTTTTTAAAATGCCATTTTGTGTCACTTCAGAAACTGAATTTACTATATCATAATATAAAAAATAATTGCAAAACATTCTACTAGTGATTTTTTTTCAAGTGTAAAGCTAGCATGAATTATTTCTAGTTGTTGAGCTTTATAATGCATTCTCTTATGTACATAAAAAACTGTTTTGTATGTTGTGTTCTAGTCTCTACATTTTTTTACAACTAAAATTAGGAAGAATTCCAGAGCAAAAGAAGTATTATAGAACCCAAGGTAGCTAATTTTTTTCTATTATGTGAAGGGATTATGTACACTGTCTTTGATTTGAAGAATTTAATCTTTTAGAAGCAGGAACATTATAGAATCACATAAATTGAGGGTAACTGAGTTGGTTCACTATTTGATTGCATTCCCAAAGATTTGTTTTCTTTTAAGCTGAGGGATCTTTTTATTTAATACTATTTATGAAAGACCTCTTTCTAGAGAAATTGGTTTTATTGATAATTCTTTATGTGCTCTACTGTTTCTAAGCTTGAATTATGATATATTCTTTCTTTAGGCATCTCTATGTACTTCCTAAAGAGAAATTATTCTGTAATTTTGTGACTTGTTTTGATTCATAAAAATAATACTTTTTTTTTAACACTTTAGGTGTGTACATCCCGATTCTGGTTTAATTATCGACATGTTGCAAATACTCTTTCTGTTTATAGAAGTGTGAAGCGGCTAGGTATTCCTGACAGGTAAGAATTCTTAACAAAACTTAACTCTGAATCTCAATGAAAATCACCCTTAGATGATTGTTATTATATTTGTATTTTTGTGTTGCTTCTGAAAAACATAAGGGAACTTGAAATTTTTTTATTGTTGTTAGAACATACCATCATGTTTGAGGTAACTTGTTTAAGACCATAGTGGCAAATTATATAAATATCAATCAATACTAAGGTAAAAAGATTTGATAAAGTATAATTGTTTAGTATCATTTATTTAATCATTAAGTGCCCCAGTGTGTATTTTTAATTACAGACAACAGAAGACAATTCTGACTGATTCAAGTAGAAAAGGACTTTACTGAAAGCATATTGATTAGTACACCAAATTGATGGGAAGGCTGTAGCTTTAAATAGTTAAGAATGACAAAAACTAGATAGCAAAGAAGACATATCTTAAATCATGACTTAAAACCAGCCCAGTGACAATAACGCAATAGCGAATTGCTGAAGTCTGCACTTAGCTACTGCATAGCTCCTGCCATTGACTTTGGAAACTTAATATTGATACTGCTGCCTACTGCCGGAATCCAACCTTTCCTGTCCCAGCATCTTAAGAGTCTCTAGCTCTTAGTATAGAGCCCTTGGAGGGATGTCATTGGCACAGCGTGGTGTAAGTGCTCATGTGCAGGCTTCCGGGGGTTGGAGGGCGTGATCGGAAGAACAAGTGTATGACATTGCTGGCTTCTGTGTGAGGAAGTAGACTCTGCCCTCTCTGAGAACTCATCAAATGGGATAGTTCCTAATTATGTGACAGAGTTCAGGTATTAGGCAGAACCTCCACCCTCGGATACATGTCCTCTATATTTGGTTTTTAGATATGATAGATCTGCTTTTGCGACTACGAAAGCTGTTATTGAAGAAACTGCAGTCAATTCAGTAGTTTAACTTTGATTTATTTAGTCCTGTGTTCCTCTCTACCTGTGAGGCAGTATGAAAAGGACTAGCAGTCAGACAAATCTGAACTAGAAGTCTGGACTTAGTGGTGATTTTTGGTTAAGTCACTTGGCCATGCTAAGCCTGTTTCCTCAGCTTTATGTGGTAATAATGGCACCTTTTTTGCAGAATTCAGGTACTTGCATGAAAACAAATAGAGCTGTGAAGAAAGTGCTGCAGGAGCAGAAAAGCAGTGAATAACTCAGGAAACAGTTCTATTTCATGTGAATAGATCATTTTAACCTAAGAAGCTGACAAGAACTATAATTTAATTCCTGTATTTAAGTAGAAAATAAGGCAGCTCTATAATATTACCATTTTTTAAAAAGTACATTAAATTAAGTCTGAGAAAGGATGATTTGTTAAATCAGGTATGCAGGTATTAATCATTCTTGTAATTAGCCAATTATGATTTGCCAGTTGCTTCTCCTTAGTAGGTCATAGGGTTAATCCTTTGGTTTTTAACTCTTGTTGCTCCTACCCTCTGTTCACCTCTTGGGAGCTACTGTGTATGGTTTGGCAGTGGTTTTCACTTTGGTAACGAATCTTTGTTTGCTCTGTAAGTCATTAGGAAATGTTTAAATGGTTGAAGTAAGTTTTAGATGAACTTTTTAGAAGTTGAATATAACTATGGGATATATTTTTTATATTATATAATTAGTAAGTTTGTCCCTGGGTTTCTGAAGAATATTCTTTAAAAGCTTATTCTTGTTTCAGATAATTGCCTGTCTGTATCTCTGTTTATAAAGTCGTTGTTGGGGAATGAATTGGGGATTTAAACAGTTTGATATTTAACAAACAGAAATCAAAGAAAAAAGTCTATTTGGCTTTTCACCTATTATGGTGAATACTCCTCTTATTGGTAACTTGTCCTACTTCTACCGGAATTAACTATAAAAATATAAGTGGATTTTTATTGAGAAAATAAGAAATTATTATGAAATAACACCTTGGAAACTTAAAATCATTAAGAATAGTAAATTTCAAAGTACAGTTTGAATTTATTTTATACATTATGGAATCTCTTCAAGTTAAAACGGCATTATAACTTCTGTCATACTGCAGTATGTATCCTGAGAAAAACGATTGGTCACTATATTTAATGACAATTAGGAGTAGAAATCTGGGTTTTAAAAAACTTGGTTTGCTTTTTTGAAGGAGCTTTTTACCTTTGTATTGAAATGCAAAGTATTTGCATTTAGCTTTCCCAGACGTTTCAGTGAGAAATTAGTTCATGTTGAAAATCACTTACTAAAATACATGTCACATGTGATTCATTTTTTTGAAAGTTCGTATCAGTGTGATAGTTCCATAGAACCTGCTTGAAATGTCACATTAGTCATCTCACGACTTTTATTCCGATTTCTCTCTGATCTTCTGTCTGTATTTCACATACTCTGACTAGATTGAGCTATTCTCTCTGCCTGGAATGGTTGTTTATACCTCTAGCTCAGTGTTACCTAAACCTGGCTGTGATTGTGAATCACTTGTGGTGCATGTTGAAAATACTGATTTCTCAGCTTTACCTCTGAAGATTTTAATTTAGGAAATACGCAGTGAGGTCCAGACATCAGCTGTGTATGTGGTTCTGATAAACAGCCAAGTTTAGGAAGCACAGCTTTTAACTTTTACCTGACTTCCAAATTCACTTTACTGTAGTAGGTCAAAAAGCATGTCCTGACTCCTTTTTTTGCTTCTATGGTTTTGCTTCTATACTTTGATTATATACAGGATACCATAGAAGCTAATTTATACTAATTTAGTATGTTTCCCTTACTAGATTATAAACTCCTTGAAGGGAATGAAGATTATATTTTATTTCACTTTTGTATTTCCAGCATCTAGAACAGTGCCTGCCACATAGTAGGTGCTCAGTAGGTACTGGTTAAATAAACATGTGACTGGGACATACGTCATCAGGCAAAGCAAACACAAGTTTGTACTTTAAAAGTAAAAACATTTCTATTGCAGAAATTGTGTTAGTCTGATTTTTATTAAGTGTTATTCTGATATAAAAGACATTTTCATAAGTGTTTCCATAATTTTATGATACTGTTTCAAAAAATTGACTCGGGGAGAAAAGATTTTATTGGTTACTGGTAAAAATAAAAAGACCTGTTCATAAGACCTTTGCAGCTGCCCTCCTGCCTATTGTCATTTTTATGCCTAAGCTCCATGGGTGACAGGTGTCTTGCACTCTGTGCCCATGCTTTCTGTAACCTTGCTCAACCACAGAGACTTTTTTGGTATTTGTGTGGTTTTAGCTTCCTGGAACATTTCACTATTTTTAGGAAATTTTTTGCCCTCACGTAACTTTTTTGAACTAAACTCCTGTTTTGCTGCCTCCAGTATGTTTATTATGCTTAAATGAGGAAGAGAAAAGGCATTATTAAGTAGGGATTAGTTTTAAAGTCAGTATGTGTATCAAAGATTCAGCAAAAAATTATTCTATAAAATTTCTTAAATAGTACATAAAGTATAGTATTGTCTTTCATCAAATCTAACACAGCCAGTTTTTCCTCCAGTGCTAGAGCAGAATACTGTTTTCTTTGGGGTAGTACTTGGTGAAGTGGTTCACTTAGGATTAGGGTATGAAAAATATACTATGTTTAGTACTGGAATTGTGATGCTTAAGCTGTGAGAGGCAGTAGGAATCGACTGAGGGAATACTCGTAGAATCATTGTTCTTACCTCATTTTTACTTTGTGGAACATACTTTGAGTATTATGGTAGGTGAGATCTGTCTCTTTTTAAAAAAAAATATGATTTACGTCTACTACAAGTTGGGTGGATGCGAGTTTTTATAATGTCTGATAAACTATTTCTGTAATTAGATTCAGCAACGTTTTGGACTGTTTTCCCTTACTCTACATTTTAATCATTATGTGAGATTAATATTCCTAATTTAAACTTTTCATTCTTCATCTCCCCTTATTTATAAACTCTAGTGTATGCAAAATAAAATTTGAATCCCTTATGGTAGCCTGCAAGATTTTTGCAATCTGGTTCTAAATACAGTGTTCTGATCATTTAATTTCAATTCAATTTCTTCTTGTTAGTCCATGAATTAGTTTCTGTCATTGTCTTACACTACTTGTCCTTCCACCAAATTCAATCCATGCATTTTCTAAAGCTTTCTTGGTCCTTATTGCATAAATAATATATTATTTATACTTGTACCATGGCATCTTTTTGTATGTATTGGTCTTATTTCTTCAGGCTGGTTCTAATTCCTCACAATGAATTCTTTGTTATATTGTGCATAGTTCGATAAATGAATGAAAGTATGCTAAAGTCCCTTTGCCAAGTGGAACCTGGTTGGTCTGACTAGACAGGAAATACTTATACATACTGCAATTTTATATTTTCTTTAAATATTGTTTCTCAAACTGTATTGATCTAAATGTGCTTTATAGTTGATTTTATAAACTATTTCCCAATTCCAACATTAGAGATCCATGGGTGGGATGATTGCACCAGGGAACTTTAAATTCATTTCTTTCTATCAGATACAAGTAGATAAGAGAGTTGCCTAGGACATGTTAACTTCAGTTTTATTTATTCCCTACCTTCCTACTGTTTAAGTTCCTTTAGGATATACTTTTCATTTTTGGTCTGTTGTCTGTTTTAACTTCTCTCTTAAGTAATAAACATTGGAATTTAAATGTGAACTCTGGTAATTTTTTTGTAAATTAAAAAGAAAAATTACTAATTGCCTATTATTATTTTTAAAATTACATTGGTAATATAGCTTTTGACTATTGCTTTTTGTGCTGATGTGGATTAGATTGTGTATATAAGAAGGTATTTTCCAAGGTAGAACATTAATAAGATACTTCTGGATTTTTTTGTACTTACTAAAATAATGTGGAGAAGGGCATGATTATGAGATTTGTTGAAAATACTTGTGCATTTTCTCTTATGAGGTCAGCCAAAGGGGACCCCTGTTTCTGGCTTCTTCCTCTGCCTGCTCTGTACCAAACATTCATTATCCTTCATAATTCAGGCACTGTGTTAGGGATTTTATAATAATT